GAAATGGGAGACGGTGACAACAAAGGGCGCAACTTATGAATAGTATAATTGACTATCATCATCAGCCACACACCTGACAATCATCGCTGACCTGGCGACGTTCACATACTTTGTATTCATGATTATCGGAAATCTTTGAATCGAGTTTTAAAATACATGAACGCCCCTAGATCAGCCCGCATGTACAATATATAGATAAGACAAGGATGTGCGGATTAAGAGGCGCGCGGCGCAAGTATCACAGGAGGCAGCTCTCGACCCCTCGGCGGCGCGGCTCCTATCACCCCCCCTTAAATCGACGGCACATAACATTCGACCCAATCTAGAACTGTTATGGTTCAGAATATAAAACCATTGAGAGTATTACAATATGATCTATGAATTCGTTCAAATAAAGAACATATATAAAACACTTTTAACGTTTTAAAACGCGAAATATTTAACAAATAATAGCATCGAATGAGAGGACATCGTAAGTCAGTAGTGTACTACAGCTAAGATGTAACAGGTTTGACTTTGACATTGACATTAGAGACACCCTTCATCTTCAATCCTCCAGTGACCTACAAAGCATCCGAAACGTCAGGTCGTAATTAATACAGATTTCAATAAGTTGAGACATATTTTGCGCGTTTTAAACCATTAAAATTGTCTTATTTAAAAGCGTTTTACTAGCATGAATGACGGATAGTGCTCAACTGTATACCGTCGATTTTTCGGTGCGGAATTTCCCCAGAAACCAATAAACCCACAAACACGCACAAGTGCCTATTGCCGACGTAATGACCCCACGCGATAACTAGCTTCGTTAACATATAGACTCTATTATTACATTATATATCTCATTGTACATTAGTAATATTGACGACAGTCGTTAGCCGACCGAAACGGGAATATATCGATATCATCTCTAAATATAAACTCTGTTAATCTTAAATGTCTATGGAACTAAAATTAGATTTTGTACCATGTAGTTTGTTAAAATTAAGCCACACGTCGTGGGGGGACGCACTGGGGGCCTCGTGCATGGCTTACGACCTAAGTTTATTATTAAGTGGGTGTATTAGATGCAAAGTACTGGTCTGCCGATCTAAAGAGAAATATTGTAGATTGATGGTCTATGATTTTTCTTAACACATGAGTCAACGACCTAGTAGACACCGCAATCAAAATTTATAACCGACTCATCATGTCACAGATTTGAGACTTGGGCAGAAACATTGATATGTCCGCGTTTAACGGTTTAAATCACGAAATATATTAGTGAAACTAATGTCAATTAATTTTAACCTTCATATTCATGACCACGGCTGCTGCAAAGCATCCGAAACGTCTAGGAGTAGTTAAAATAAATGGTAAATAGGTTTGCATAATATATTTCGCGTTTTAAACCGTTAAAGGTATTTTATTTAAATGTGTACCAATCGCTTAACTACAGACACGAAATTAACCAGTGGAATTCACTTAGTGGTTGGTTCGAGATATAGCATCGTTCACCGTCTCTTTCATTCTTCCTTGTGTTGAGTAATCTCGATAGACCGGCAGGGTTATGAGGTATGTGCGCCCCCCCTCGAGCCCACAATAACACATGACAAGCGATACGGAACACTGGACTATGTTCGCGCCGCGTCTCTGCCCGCACACCCGACTACTGACGAGTGAAAAGGAACAAGATATACCACGTATACGGTGGACTGGCGAACCTTTGAGTGTCATACAGCAAGTAGAATTTTCGTTAACCTTCACTTTACTTTATCAATTTCACTTCCGAGTTTCTAGAACCTACATCTTTTTAAATTTAGAACAAGGCAGACACCCAACGGTTCACGTACCCACCTTGAAAACAAAACTATAACTAACTTACGATACCGTTAACGCCGCACTCGCTCCTTTCATATATATGTATATATCTACTTTATATTATTATAGAGAAGTGATTTTATATGTATTTTTATTTTTCTCATCTATCTGTTATAGTTATCGGACGTAACCAACTTATTCCACTCTGTTTCACGAGTTTTAAACGAAATTAACTGTACGGAGGCACAAACTAAATGGCAACTGTTACTCTCTTGATGAGCGAAAAATTGACATCGCTTTCGTAAAGTGCTTGCAACACATTGGAGACGGTAGTACGAGGTGTCATTTAGATTGTTCCGGAATATAGACTATAGTAAACTGCATCTGTTAGGGTCAGCGCACATTAGCCACCGGCCAAGTGTACGCCAAACCTTATTTGATTAGCGTAGTATTGACTGTATCGGATCGGATGCAAAAAGTCAACTATTTCTATCTGTTAGGGCAATAATCTAAATTACATTTAAAGTTCCATAAAGCGGATATCAAAGTACAAGCGTAACATTCTTACTAAAGTAGAACACATTAGCTTATTAAATTGTATGAAATGCTCACATTTTATTGTATTTCGTTACCCGCTTCATGAACGTCACGTGAGCAACTTTTGCAGTGGAAACTTCGAAAAGTTGCGCGCGCGCAGCGACTGTCAACTCTCTTATACTTTAACTTTACGATACAGTCAATATGACATTTCACTCCAACGTACCTACAGATCAAACTATCAACGAACTCAGCTGCATACGAAGATGTAACTAAATGTAATGAGAATATAAGTCTGTACTTGAATACCGTGAAATTTTTCGATGACTCATACAACTATTATAACATACAATATTATATCTAAGTCGTACTGAACGCATAAACGTACTCGGTATTTGATTTCGTTAAAATATCGTTTATGTTTCCAGTAGATCGAGAAGTTATTAACAGATGGCAGTATACGCTTAAAATATAAAACTGTTATAACGTATAAAGCAATGTAACATGAAAAAAGACTTTATTTTATTACAATAAAGTCGAAATTGACTTGGAGTTGCCGTGAGAACGAAGCGAAGCAAACACATAAGAGTATTAATTTGAAAAAAAAATGTAGCGTTAGTGGCACGATAGAATGGGAACTGAGTAGAAGTTCTTTTTAATGACTCGAGTCGTAGACTGTAGACAACTACGCACCTACTTATTTACCATAGATTAAACACTTACAGCCTAACTTTTTTTGCTGTATTTTTTTCATTTTTCTTTTCATTAATGTAAAAGGGGTGAAAAAAGGTCATGGCGCGACGTCGACGTGTCAGAGACGTGAAGGGAATTGCTTTTCAAAGAAAAGTGGGGATAGTCCCAAATACAAATAGGCTCTTATGAAAAAAAAATACACAAAATAGGCACGGCCGACGCCTGCTGTAGTGTTTACCTAATCCTACTGCGTCCCGCGCATACATACATATATACAAAACACACCAATATAATATACGGTTCGACACGTAATCGCTTGCCAAGCGAGCCCAAAGTCTTCCTCGTCAAAGAAGACAGAGTCCAAGAAAACATTTGAATCGTAATTGTAACATATAGTTTATTCAAGCGATTACGAATCACACAGGGTGCTTACAAACCAACAGTTAAGTGTCTCTCAAGGTTTTGTAGAGATATAGATCTAGCCGAATCCAGGGCACGTGTCACACGCCCTTATACCATACCAATGTACCCTTGTACTATTTAAGCAACAAACTTAAATCTACCCTCGCACGAACGCGGCCGTTTCGCTCAGCTACAATATGCGGGTATATTAACAAAAACTATGTAATTGGTTTTTTAAATAATTTCGAAAATACAAAATTCATTGGCCGAGTATAAAAAAACTATACATAGAGATTTTATGAAAACAAACTTTGCTTAGTGAATTCATAGCCGTTTAATATTGACTTCCATCCTAGTTCCGTTTCGTAAAGGAGCTGAACGGACGCGCTGTGCTTATAAACATTCACACGTCCTCTGACTACGAGTATATCACAGCTGCGCGTCACTTATAATTATCACGAGTGCCGCCGCCCTGCTACAAACCGCCATTTTTCTATGTCAAAAATGCTAGTTGAAGAAACCACTTCATCTTTACACGTCTGACAAATTCCCAATATGTTGTACGTTGTAAATAAAATTAACGGTTAACGGCAGAGCGGCTGATGTATTACTCGCCCTGTAAACACCCGGTGTCCTTATTGGGGCGATACGCACATAATACCATTAGGGTGAAAAAATTTTTTTAATCCATAGATTACAATCAATTTGAAGCTTCGATCAGTAGTACGTATTATTGCTGTCAAGAAATTGATTTGCTTTAAAAGCATGTACATATCGACCCCAAACAAGTCCGTATTCAAAGTACAGACACAATACACTAAATAATTCATAATAAAGAGAAATACACCTAAAACTAACGTACTTCATCCAAATGTTTAACGCCAGGGAAATTTATATTCAATGTGTACCCCCTGGCGTATTTTAAATAGACTTAATGGAATTTTGATTCCGTAAAAAACACAAAGAAAAAAATCGTTCAAAACGATAATTGCGAATAAAGCTTAGCTTTAGTTCTGCGGCGGAGTTTTAATTCCATTCCTCGCGATCGGTTTTAAAACCGGTTTTTTAAACAAGCGAATAGAAGCGATACATACTTTTATGTGCAATTAGGTTTTACGCGAAAATTATTCCTTATTGTAGTACAATATTACTTTTATAACATACAGTATATAAATTATTGCCAAATCAAGGGTTTGTTTTAGTGTTATCCAGAAATCGTAGTTTTCCGAAGGATTTCGCTGTTATTTTGAGTAATGATCACCATCGAGCCCGTACATTTGATTTAAAGATAGCTTATTGAACTTTTGTATGATAACTGAAATTTAGTTTATCTGCTCAAAACATTATGTGGGTAGTTGGAAAATCCTTCGTAAAACTCATCGTCTAAGATGAAATCAAATCGATACCGACGCCGCGCGATGCGAAACGAAACGTGATCGGATCGTAAACAAAACGTAATAAAGCTCAAACGGTTTATCACATCATCTTATTTCTATAAAGTGGGCACAGAGCTATGTACAGGGGGGGCCGACGGGCGTTCACGGCCGGAAGTAGCCGATGCGATCGCATCAAATCCGACTTGCGCCGTTTCCGCCGAATGTGTCCTGCAACAGATCAGTAGTAATGTTATATAGGGTAAAGGCATCAAAGTTCTTTACATCTTCGAGGTAAGTTTTTATCTCAAGACATATGATTTCGGGGTTTGAAAGTTATAGTTCATTCAATTTTGTAATGTCAAACCGACGTAGTCTAACAAATTTATAATGTCCCCGTATTTGTCTATCTTTAAGATAAAAGCTCTTTTTTTAACGTAAATAAATTTAGTCAAAATTAATAATGCACCATATATTTGTATGAGTCAACTCACTCATCAACATCAATATTCGTCTCGCAAACGACAAAACAACGTTTATCGAATCAGCTAGTAGTTATAAACATCTTAAACAATTATTATATGCTGAAATAGTTATGCTTTCATCAGGCTAAATTATTACTCTGATTTAAAAAAGGCAAACTCTCACCATTTCCCGTGTAGGCTGCGCGCTCCCGGCCCTGCCTCCGGAGCCACTGCCACCCTGCAATTATCAATACTTTTGCTATAATGTGAGCTTTCTTCATAGAACAGGTATTGACTAACTAAAGGGACCTTTTTACGACGCAGCACATACAAATATATGTTCACTTGATGGAAGGTTAAACAACCACAAACATGCACTTATACCGTAGGGCAGATTATAAATCTTCACGCCATTTTCATCTGTGAATTGTGATTCGTGACTAGGATGGCTAAAGTTTCGATGTGCTAAAGTTCTTTTTTATTAATTTAGACGTAATCCGTTGGTCGAATGGTATAAATGTATGGCTAATCAACAGATCTTACAGAGTGCAACAATTTGAAAAATAAATAAAATGTTTGATTTAACCCTTCATCGACTGAACCAGGCATGTCTAAACACCTCTGTCAGATAAAAAAAGGGTGCGTATGCGCATCCCTGACCCTCGTAGCCGCCTCTGTAACCAAATAGTTATCCCTGTTGCCAGGCATTGCGTTAAGCGTGACAGGGATGGGTTCAAATCTCGAGGAAATAAGATTGTTTCGGTTGAGCACGGCACAGAAAGTCTGAACTACATGTTAAAGAAGCGATCAGTGAAACAGACAGAAATATGTTTGCCCAATGCTCCGAGGGAAGAAACATGGTTTCACTACCCGTGTACGTAGACGTCTTACTTGGTGCGTGTGTGGTGGCGAAAGTTGAGCGCGACCCATCTTATCACAGTAGTCCGCCATAATGTCGCGAAAACGCGACCAGCACTTTTCCGGCACCGTGATCGCCGTGCGGAAATTACTCTTCACCTGGACACATAACGTAAATGAGAAAAAAAAAAATTTACAATCGATTAAATATATTAATCAGTATTCAAGAGTCAACTGTACTAAAAAATAACGTAAATGAACTTCTAAACCAAACCAGGAAATGTAAGATTGTCATCTGAACATCAGACGAAGACCTCTTGTTCATAACGGGTAAACATTTTTTTAAAATACCTAAAAAGTGCTTTTTGAAACTAGCAAAATAGCAATAATTACGGAAAAAGCTTTGCAATAGGGAGCCGTTTAAGTGTTTAATATTTCGCGATTGGTTGGGGGGCGGGGGGGGGGTATCAGAGTTAGAAACTGGATAACATAACGTTACAAAATTAGGAAACAAGAATCTGAACTCAACGCTTGCGCAGCGCCCGGGCATGCGACATGGGAGATATGGGGGGAGGGGGATTACAGAGCATTCTGTGTGCCTAATACGGCCCGAAACATCACTAGGCTAAACTCTTTGTTTTGAGATAGTTTATTTAAATAACCACTTCTTTATTATATTATACTTCGTAATTCCGGGCTTTGGGGAACGATGATCAATTTAAGTGTATGTAGAATTGATTAAGGAGTAAGGAGATCGAATCCCTGAAAATTTGAAGTTTGTCCTAGAAACTTCCCAAATGAGAAATCTGCTATTCGTAATCTTAAATTCGTTTCTTACGGTACAACTAAATACTTGCACAGCCCACCACAACAATGAAATAATTAATATGACGACGAGATGTACATGAGTAATGTATAATAAAGTGTAAAGTAATGTCATGCTGCAACGGCGCAGAATTACTTGCAACGAAGGTACAACCTCGCTGACTTTCATGTAGATGCCTCGATTGTTTTGCCCGATATCAAAGTAGAAGTTCTTGTTGTCGACGCGTAGGTGTCGCCCCTCGGGCAGTTCGCCCTTGTATCTAGAAGAGACGAAACTGATGTAGGATATTTAATAAAAAGTTTTAAAATAAGTGTACATCTAAATAAAGCAAAGTGTGTTATATTTCAGTATAACTTATTTTTAAACTGTTTAACGTTTTAAAATGCAAAATATATTGGTTAAACTTATGTAATAATTATTTTAACTACGGCCAGGCATTTCGGAAGTGAAATAAACTGGACAAAAATATTGTAGGACATTGGCAGGCATTTCACTAACTTGGTGACATAGATGAAGAGCCTTCGGTGACCAACCTGACCAAAACAATTTGTCGTGTTAGTCACCAGAATCTGATGATAAAAGCAAATCCATACGTGTTCTTCACAGACCCCCCGTGACCATAGCTGCTGTTAGGCATCAGAGCGTCGGGTCGTAAAGTCGGGGTCGGGATTTGAAAATGGTTTGAGAAACTTGGCGTTAGATACTGTTAAGTGTTTTATTTAAATGTGTACTCGCGTAAACTACAGACAATACATAGATGAGACTTACCCGCCATCATCAATTCCGAAGTCGTCCAGCAGATCGGTGAGGGCGTCGCGGAATTCTATCATGCCCTGGGCGGGCAGCGCGATCTGGCTGCGGGGCCCGCCCCGCGTTATCGTCTGAGACACTCGTAGGAAACGACCGCGAGAGTTCTCCTTCAGATCTAGATAGTATCTCCTGTTGTCCTACAATTGTTTGCTTGGCGTTTTATTGGTTCAATATTAATTTTAATCGATTATAAGTTTTGTGAAAATAAATTATTTCTACAAAACATGTTCTAAATTAGACGACGAGCTTATTGGTTTAGTGGTAGCAATGTGTTGCTAATGATCGGGCCGTGGGTTCGACTTCACCGGGATGGACATGATTTTACTATTTACCAATAATATTTTTTTCTGAAACATGATGGACTACATCTGGGATGTAGATATTAAATGGATGGGAGGAATAACGAAACTCGTCTGTCCTCCTTTGTTTAAAAAAAACAGTGTAGACTTTAAAGACACCTTTAATTAAAGCCACTTTTAATTTTGTATTACACTGTAGCTGAAAAGGCTAAGATGTCCTGAGTTCGAATTCTGGAGAGACAAAAAAATGTTTGGCTCTAGCAGCGCACAGAAGTTTGATCAACTACTTGCAGGTAAATAAAAGCCATCAGTGAAACGGACGCAGAAATGCTATAACTAGTTGATACATTTCCCGCAGTACCCAGTCCCACATTAGTGTGAGAAACTTAATATAGATAGAGAAAGCATGTTCCCAGGTTTAATTTACCCCTATGTTACCTTTAACATCATCTCTGACTTGAGTTTTCCATCGTCCGGCACGTTGTCGGGGTTGGGCGGGCCCAGAGACGAGTAATAGTCGCTGAAACTCGACAAGTGGTCGCGGAACTCCGCCGCCGTTGACATCGCTAGGAATATTTGACTTCGCCGACCGTCTGCGCCGATCTGTGGGAGTTTTTATTTTTTTTGGGCACACACGATTAGACGGTAGTAGCTGGCTTTCGTGGGTAGTAGGCTGTACTAGCACTCCGGTACAGTAAAGCTTACCACCGAAAATGGTCAGAGTGGAACGACTCCCCCACTCATGTGTAACCCGCATTTTCAATAAAACATAAATAAGCCCAGAGAGAAGTTAAAAATCTATTTATATTTTAAAAAATGATAAAACAGTCAGGACTTGGGCTTCGACAGCGTTCCGTGGTGCTGCTAGAGCAGCAGCCAACCAATTGGACCAATTGAGCTACCGGGCACGGTCACACACGGACACACGTCGCCATCGTCATCTCTTGCGCAATGTAATTTGAACCTTGTATCAATAGACTAGACAGATTCTACCTAACATATAAAAACTTAATAGATAGTTTTAATAGGGATATCTTCAAATATCCGGTTTCTTGATCGCTATTAACGAGAGAAAGAAAAACATGATAAGATAAGGATATCTTAAGATCAAGTTTCTATCTTAATAATCAGACAAACCTTATCAACTTGTCTCCTTACACGAGGGTCAAGGTTCAGTAGATTATACAAATACTTTTAACAGATTAAAACGCGAAATATATAAGTGTATTTACAATTTATACTACTACAAGTATAGGCCCCCGTGACTACGGCTGCAGCAAGGCATCAGAAACATGGATCACTATTTGTCTCTATTACGTTTTTTGACATTTGGAATAGTCATGGAATACACAATTTAACCAACTTTAAGTAGCTTTTCAATTCGATTCGTATATATATGCTTTTTTATGTTAGGGCATAAATTCGTCGTTTCTGGACTGATTTTTAAGTTTCTTTTGGATAACGAGTGTGAGGAACTTTTAAAAAATCATACAAACTACCAAAAATACTTAGAATGAAAAATCCAATCAACATCATACAATTCGATACATGGATGGATGGAGCCGAGATACGAAAACTAGGAAAAAATTAAGAAAATCTCAACGGTTTACAGACTTCAAAATTATAGCTAAATTGAATAAAACATTCCTATGTAACTAAATCATAATAATACTTTGCGCAAAGTAAATTTATATTTTTTTGTTTGAAGTCAGTTATTTTATTAATATTATTTAAAAAATACACGTTGCCAGTTGTTAAAAAACGATGGATTTAAATTAAAACGCTTATCGTTTGTTTAGTATATATATCTAATCTTTTTGGTTGAATTAGGAGACGGTGGATGTGCTATATAGGGATATATTTTGTTATTTCGGTCTAATCATGGACAATTGTAAATTAACTATTTGATTAAAATGGATTACAGAAAAGAAACAAAGTAATACAGTATATTTTTATAACCTTACTACTTTAGAAGCGAATTTAGAACCACCAGTTACGGTGTCTCAGACCAGAAATAGACATCAAAAATGCATTTTTATTTCAGTATTGCAATGAGTTTTTTTTATTAAATATTATAATTATTAATAACCTATTACGGCATTATATATCATTCTTCCTTTACATGTCCTTTTGGCCTGAAATGGGGAATCCCCCCGTTTCCGTCTATAGAATACAAACCTCTGCAACTTTGATGAAGCGACCGCGTCGATTCTGTTTCACGTCGAGGTAGAACCTTTTGGACTGTATCTGGAGCATTTTCGTAGCCAACTCCTGCTCCTGTGGCTGTTGACCTGGAATCATAGGCAATCATGTTATCAAAACGGAAATAGCCAAAATTAAGTTTGCGTATACAAAGTGTTCTAAATTGAAATTACATTAAAGACTTAAAAATTGGTGCATTCGATTTTGACAGGATGGTGTAATGGTAGCAATGCATGGCTAATAATCAGTAGAACGTGGGTTCGATGGCCACCGGGTCTAACATTTTTCTAAACAATTTATAATTACTGTCTTGTTTACGCGAGTAGTACACATTTAAATAAAACACTTTAACGGTTTACAAACCGATATATTAGTTAAACTTATTTGGAAATGATTTTTAACATCGGCTCGACGTTTCGGATGCTTTGCAGCAAACGTGGTCACGGGGAGACAATTTATAATTTTTCTGAAACTTGTTGGACTAGATATTAATCGAAATAAAATTCGTTTGGATCACGAACTACCGTCCACAGAAGAAAAATCCGTGACGTTTAATTGTGTTTCGATTGTCAAATATCTGAAAGTCAAATGGTGTTCCTTTGTTAAATAATATAAAACTAAGGTTCAATTGCGACATTTGGTAATATGTCTATCTTTTTAATAATAACTAGCCGTGTCGTGTAACAAACAGTTTCATGGAATAAAATTTGGTCGAAATCAATGTTATTACCATAATTTGTTAGAGTTGTATCAACTATAATATCAATCTAAAAATCAAATCTAATATCAATCTTAATCTTGAATATTTTCTTTTGTATTATTATTAGTTTATTCTTAATTTATCTGATTTAAAATAAATATCCTTCATAGCAATATGCCTACAGAAGAAGGTCGCACCTATCTAAGAATAGTTCCCAAGCGAAATTAGCAAAGTTTGTCGTATTGGAGAGTCTTCTTCCTAAAATGATCACCTGGAAAGTATTATAGTGTACGCGTCCCAATCGCAAGCCGGAGCATCTGTCTATCTCGCAGCGGCTCCTGACACAGCGTGATAGACAAAAGTCGTTAACAGCTGGGACGCGAAATACATTTTTTTCTTCTAATTTCGTGATTCACGGTCGTTTTAATTAGCATGCTTATAATTGTAATATCTGTATTATATGTCTACCCGTGCGAAGCCGGGACAGGGCCGCTAGTAAATAATAAAGCAATAATAAACAAATTTGATAGCCTTATAACCTTCCCCGAGAAATGCTCTAACCGACACAAAAAAAGGATTCGAATCAGTAGTTCCTTTGATTAGCGCGTTCAAACAAACAAACTCTTCAGCTTTATATATTAGTATAGATTGGATTTCTGGCCATCCATGGCAAGCAAAGTGGATTTAATGTATATTGTCTATAAATAGGAACAATTGTTAGAACGAGTAATGATTATGACGTAAGTAGAAACCCGATCAATTACGGATCGTCACACATGACAAGCACTGTCTGTACAATGTATTCCGTACACTGTACGTAAGTACAATGTACATAAGTAATGTATTCCGTACTGTACGTAACGCTAAATAAATATCGTTGCCTTGAATCTTATGAAACAGATATGTCTATAAGGAATTGTATCAATTGAAAATTCGTTTTATAAGTTGACTAGCTGTTTCAGGGACTTCGTCCGCGTATGAAAGTTATTTTGAAGTTGAATATTTTCGACGTATTTTCGTGATCGTGGGGGCCATTTAAATAAGAACGGGAAAAAACCGCTAAGGACTGTATGCAGACTATTTTTGTAGCTAAGTAGTTAAGTTTCAATAAGATATCATATGCCTTATATTGCCGCAGGGATCTTATATTTTTTTGCGGTCACAAGCTACTGTTGTCCTAAGATACTATAACATAATGTATTTAAGTAACGATACATTTAATCAACTGCTTTGATTACAAATTTTGTACGCGCAGGCGTCGAACCCACAACGTACCGTGCGTTTCCACCAATTAATCTACCACATTACTGTCTATGATAAAACAGTAGATTAAAAGGATTGCTATATCAAATAATGTTAAGAATCCTGCCGGTGCTGTTCAAACCGGAATAAAACCATACGTTCAAATCGTAAATGAGCTTAGCAACAAGCTATTCCGATTGTGGGATAGACACACAGGGATGTCGCTAAAACCTGTTACAAAACTAAAGAACGCTCTTTTAAAGCTGTCACTTGCGCAAACGATTTTCAACAAATATTATTAATTACGACAGAAATATTTGGTTCGAATTAAATACTATACTAATATTTAAGCTGGAGTTTTTTTTGTGTTCATTAGAGAATTTATCGGAGAAGGTTATAGGCTATAAAACATTATTGGCCACAGCGTGTATCCATAAACAGCGGGAAATGTGGAAAAAACGGGGAAAATATCTTCGTGGGTTCCCATTGTGTACGGTGACGTAGTTTTTTAAAAAAGCCGTTGAGTTTCGTGCGTGTTCTTCTCCGTCATGTTGCTCTTTAGAACACTCCGTAGAATCACGACAGACAGATAGACATCTTTTGACGAATATAAATAATTAATCTCTAAATGATGAAAATAAGTTTATCGCTGTTTCTTCGCTCTTATTGCTCGCATCGTGATGTTATATAGCCTGTAGCCTTCCTCTAAGGATGCTCTAAGAACACAAAAATAATTTTACAATCCCGAGCAGTAGTTAACGTTCAAACAAATAAACTTTTTATCTTTATATATTTGTGTGCAATTATCGAATTTTGAATTTATCCATCCTTCGTTAAAAATAATGTGTGGCAACCCTAGACCACAGAGGATAACAGTATTGTAATGTTAGGAAATTACATGGCCTATTTCTTGTCTGCCTACACAGTACAAACGCCGGCAGGATATTAGAAAAAGATTGCGAGCAACGAACGTTAATAAGCGGTAAGCCTAATTTAGGAAACGAACGAATTTATGTAATCTTTAATAACACTCTTATAAAGAAATATGTAAGTAGTTATTCATTACTAGCTGTGCCTGCGATTTCGTTCGAGTAGAAATGTTATTTCGGGCGTGAACATTTGGTTTTGCAAACCACCTTTACCTTTACCAGTTAATCTTAATAAATAGACATATTATAGTGTCGTAAACATTTAAATAATAATTTTCTTTCATACAAGTTTTGTGGGTTATTTTAACCGTTTTCACAGATATTTTCAATTCAAACCAGTAATTCTAGTGATTACAAGTTCAAACAATTACTGTAGTACACATTTAAATAAAATACTTTAACGGTTTAAAACGCGATATATTATATTAGTCATATGCTACAAAGCATCCGAAATGTCGGACCGAAGTTAAAAATAAGTTTAACTAATATATCGCGTTTTAAACTGTTAAAGTGTTTTATTCAAATGTGTACTACTCGCGTAAACTATAGACAGTATTTAACAGGGTTCTACCACATTCCGTCCTGCTCTAATTTTTTTTTCATTTATTTAATGCCATTATGTGTGAAAACATTAAAGTTTCCAAAGAGGAAGACAGGCAGGCATAGAGTTCAATTTATAACATGTAAAAAGATCGCTGTCTACCTATTTGATACTAGACACCAAGAAAACCAGACTGATGCCAAAGTTTTTATTTGTATAACACGACCTTACGACGTTTCTTACTTAAGGTGTATTTTGACAATTTATCGAAAAGATTGAACTACGGTTCAAATCGAACCCGCGACCCTTAGGTCTAGAATCTAGATTGTTACCGCTACAACGAATCTACAAACATCACGACATCGACATTTATTAAAGTACTTATTTTACTTTAGCCTCACCTGAGTCAAAATTGTTCCCGCCTGCATCCATGCCTTGTCCATGATATTCTGAAAAATTAAATTACGACTTTATAACTGACTTTAATGATGATCAAATTGTACGAGGAACAAAATTGCAGTTCCGCTTGTTCGTCTAAGCATAACACACCATTTACCATTGTTACCTTGTATTATTACGAACAATTAATTCTCACGAGGAATACACGCGTAAGGAAATACGCAACTTCAATTCATATATGCACTTTGAATTACTATCGAATTGATCGTTGAAAAAGTCAGAATTTACACATTCCCACTCCCAGCTGTGGGAATCCTGAAGAATGTTGGACTAAGACTAACGCATTGGCCTTATCCCGATTTTATTCCCGATCTTTGATAACATCAGAATGAGCGCTAAAATTTCTTTGGGCTATAGCTCACATAGGCATACATTTAAATAAAACACGTTTCAACGGTTTCAAACGCAAACTGGATTAGGTAATTTTAACTATAGACTGACGTGTCGGATGCTATTCAGCAGCCGTGGTTACGGGCATTACGGGACACGAGTGTAAGTGGTTGCATATACCCAACACGGCACTGAAAAAGGGAAAAAAATAAAGGAGAACACACTTATTGAATTTATGGTCCAAGCCTAACAGTAGGTGCCTGAGAGTAATGATCTTCGCAGAAATTATTCACAACGTGGTCCAGCTTATTTAACGACACTAAACAAGAGAAGTAACGTCTTAAAATAGAAAGTTTTTAGGAATCTAGGTGAGCATGACGCGGGATCAAAACACCTACAACAATATAATAAAAATATAATCGTAGAGATAAATTCTGTGTTATCTCTGTCCTAAATAAGTTTCGTACATTGTCACAATTTGGTTTAAATTGGCTACGACTAAACGCGGGCGTTATTTTTAGAGTTCAAATTGTAAACTTTAAAAATACTCCGTCATCTACAAAAAAACACTTTTAACGGTTTAAAACGTGGCCATGGTCACGGCTGCAGCAGAGTATTCGGAACGTCGGGACGTAGTTAAAATAAATTAACTAATAAATTTCGAGGTTTAAACCGCTAATGTTTTATTTTAATGCGTACTGCTGGCGTAAACAACAGACATACAATAAAATATATCAATATAATAACACCGACTCCTTCCAAATTCCAAGAAATTTTATATAAAAAAAATAATATACCGAATTAACTTTTGGGATTCGAATCTTGGCGAGAGATGTGCAATCGAATGTATTTACCACTCGACCGAGACGAGGCAGTCCAATATCCGAATGTATCTACAATTAATATCGCTTATCTTCGCTCAAGGTGTGGTCGATATCTCAGGGCATTGACCTTAGATAACGATTAAATTTATATTAACGGCGATCATGTGAAAAACTTTATTTACTTCAAAAGAAGTACAGGACCGACAAAAGGTAGAACAAAAAACACCGTAAACTATACAATATAATTTTTTTTCACATGCACGGGCGCGAGTCGCACCCAGGACTACATCCTGCCGTAGAGAATTTAATAGATTTGAAATTCACATTAACGTTATTATAATAACGCTATGTTTAAATATAACGATAGTTATGTTTTATTATTTACCTACCAACAAGTTTGATCAAAGTAGTTTGAAAAATGTGTAATTTAATACTTTATTTATGAGAGCTTAAGATAATATAGTAATAATTATAAATAGGTAGTCTGCGAATTTTGTTTTAATGGATTTTTGTGAATTTTTTAGATTATTTCCAGTTATTGCTTTATCTAACATGGATAATTCATAAACATGAAAATTAGCAAATATGATTTATGGCAGGACAGACATGCTTTGCATGGGGTTTCCACTTGAAGTGATATAATATATAACATCTTAACAAGATATGCTGTCGACCTTATTTAGATTCGGAAAGTCGGAAATCCACAGACTGAAACCGAAACGCGAATACACTCTACGACTTTTGTATTGATGATCGGTAGTTCGTGACGTGGACGGAATTTCGACATTCCTACCATCCATTTAATATCCACATTTGCAGACAAAGTCTGTCCAATCCAGTTTTAGAAAAATTGTTAAATTAAAAACGTGCTACATCATGTGGGGATCCTACACTCCCCACTTAATATACAATTGTTAATTACTCAAGGTCTAATTTACCCCTAAAACACACCCAGAAGTAGGCAGTGTCACAGCGCCGTACCGCCACATATCCGTAATTAACAGTCAAGGTATACCTCCTCTAAGCTGGGCCAATCATTGCTTAGCATCGTTACATAAGTGGTTCAAGGTTGGCCATTGGCAGACCCGCCACAGACATGAGCCAGACGCACAAAAAAAGTGAAACCCAATTTTTTACTTGAGAAATCGCTCGTTCCGTTTCGTTCCGCATCGTAATAAACCTATATTACAGCACGCAACCGTGCTACAATTAATAAGAAACGTTTTATTAACAATTATTCTCTAACTGTGTTGTCTGCTTTTTAAAAGAAATCTAGGTGCAAATCTAATAATATACTAATTAAAATGAATGTTGTTAAGGTTTTGTAAACTACGACCCCAAGGTTTTTGCATATGTGGTCACGGGGAGACAAAGTTTACTAATATATTTGGAGTTTTACAGGATTATTTGTGTGTTCTACTCTTGTGACTACTACAGACAATACTTTATCTAAAATTATATTAATAATTCCACATTTAAAATGTTTACAGTTAACAAGCAGGTACTGAAGTTAATAGAAAATCAATACTTAAAAGATTTTTTAATTGAACAATTTTATAAATTTATATTTTAGGTCAGTTGATTTTTTTGCTTGTTGTTCACTTAATTAACAAGCTACGGAACGTGGAGTTCTAAGCTTGCTATTTCTACATCTCAATAATTTCAACAGCTGATACTTCCAAGGTCCCAATAAGTGTGGAGCAATGAACAAATGAGACAAATTATGGTCCTTTAGAGAGAAGGTTTTTGTATCCAAAATCTCATATTATTTGGGGCCACTTTATTTTGATGATCGGATATAATGATTTATATCTTAAAAATGAACATGTGTTTACCCCTAGGCAGCATAGGGCAGACATATTTAAGTGTCTGTTTTACTAATTGCTTATTGTATATTTGCAAAATGAGATTAAAATTCGACATTGGTCCGATTTCAATAATCTTCATATATTATAAATCATTTTTCTTAATAAATAGGAAACTGTAATTAGTAAGGCTTTTAAGGTATAAATACAACACACTTTTACATTATTAATGGAAGAACTAAGTGTTACTTAAATATAAGAGTATCAAGTTTAATAAAACGTTTGTTACTAAGGGCATACTATTGCGGCTGCAAAGACTTTAAAATTTTCCAGCTTTAGTAAAGAAAGGGTGTAAAGAAAAAGTGTATTGCATTTTAAACCATTATTTCATTTAAATAGAAGAGGATGTCTTACTATAAATAAGAAATACAATACTACTGCATCCGGTCCAAGCTAAAAACCGGAACTGATTAGTTTGACAAGATATTTATTATTATGTATTACTTAGTAGTTATAAGTATATTGTAAAAACTGTGTTAGTAGGACAAAAAGTTTTAAATTTGATAGTAAATAACTAAGCATTAATGAACAGAAGTATAAAACCTCCCCGTGACCACAACTGCTCCAATGCGACCGAAACATCTGGCCAAAGTTTAAAAATAATTTTCAAATAAGTTTCACTAATATATAGCATTTTATACCGTTAAGATGTTTTATTTTAATAAATACATCTGGTAAAACAATTACAAACATATTATAGTTCCTTATAGTAACAAGGTATTGTATTTAAATTTTAGAATAAGTTATCTCTGTTAAAGTATTATAAAAGCACCAAATTACTACTAAGGAAATGAGGAAACACTTTCTTAAACATCTAAATGTTTATAAATAAGGTTACTGACATATTACAAAAGATGAAATCACTATCACACACTTGCCTTATTAAATTAATAGATTTACTTGCATTGTATTCAACTGCACCATTTTTACTGGAAACATACTTGCAGTTTATATTCTATTATAACACCGTAATGAAGTTAATTTTTACTGTAATATCTTCATATTTCTCTTATTAGCACTGCAAAACTCTAAATGTTTCAATTCTGCTATATTACACAACAAGGCCTAGCAACAGCTGATATCCTTTGTTCACACTTCATTGATCAAATATTTAGCACCAAGAAATGTTGAACTTTCACTAATTCACAGTACACTTCACTGAACACTTAACAAAGGAAGTAGGTGAGCTATGAAATGTGCAACCAGTCTAGAAGGAAACAAAGGGTCAGTGCGGAAATGGACAGGCCCTACGCGTTGGTGACTAGACTGACCTGCCATGATGTCAGCTGATATAGCCGGGCAAGGCGGCGCCTCCGCAATGCCCAGAGACACCCCTGCCGAGACCAGTCAACGGCCCGCCCGCCGACGGGAGGTCGCAGACAAAAAAATCGATAGGTCGACAACCTCTGCTCGCGCTCACAAGCCGTCAGCCGGGCGGCCCGTCCCTTTAACGTCGCAAGACACGGGCTCGGTCCCGCAGCAGAAACCCGGCGAGGCCTCAACGCTCGACTTATTACGGATACAAATTCGCCATTTTGAAACAGGAACAATGAAATATTTACTTTCGAACTGTACGACAGGTGAAAATGTCGCTCGCGATCCGTGACATCAATAACACGATGTTATACTTATAGACGCTATACCATTGTAAATAAATACATACTCTGACTAGAAATTCCTTCGTCACCGCTGCCGTTATCCGACATTTCAATCCACACCGAATTCTACAGGCGATTCGCCGATCTTTCGGAACTTCTCAAGTCGAACAACTGAAATTGTCTATGGTCGTACAGCCATCAAACTTCACTTTCTTTATGGTTATGCTTTTTGATAAAATTATATTTTCGATATCCAAATCAAATAATATTTTCTAATTAGACGCGCAACCTTTTTTTAATCGTTACATGTATAAAACCATATTTATATCATCCAAAAACGTACTTAACAAAAGATCGAAACTTGCAAGAATTGAAAGAATGACACCACAAACGTCAAATTGTAAATGTTGCATTGTATCTCTGTGGAAACGTTTGACTAGTCTGGCAATTGACACGCAAAATAATTTCACGGATTTTGCCCATATTGCTCAGAGATATTTAAATAGAAATAACCTACTTTCAAAATACATCTTGCCTAATATATGTGATAAGTTGATCGATAGGGTTTGTGAATCTTTTAACAATTATCGATTTATTATTTTAAACTACAGTTTCGGTGGTTTGATTAATCGATGGTTTTTATTTACTGGAATAATTAAAAAATATTATTAATATAATTTTCGTTCGGGGACACGTGTGGTAGGAGGGGTGGTCAGTCCAAATTAAAGAAATACACATTTTTATATATAACTGTGATACATGGCATGTGTTGAATGTCACGTCAAAGTTTTACAGTCAAACGTCACTACATAATGACATTTTATTGTTTATATGTATCGCCATATTGTACTCTCGAAGGGCAATACGATATTAATTATTATAATATTGAATATGTTATTAATATGTATGGCATTACAATAATTTTATGGCAACAAGAAAATAAAACATTCCAACACTTTTAATACCTTTATAAAAAAAAAAAAAAAAAAAAAAATTTAATTTTTTTTTTTCCCCCCCCCCCGGTTGGGGGGGGGGGGGGGGGGGGGGGGGGGGGCCCCCCCCCCCCGGGGGCGGGGGGAAAAAAAAAAAATATTTTTTTTTTTTTTTTAAATTTTTTTTCCCCGGGAAAAAAAAAAAAAATTTTCCAAACACTTTCCTTTATTAGACAATATTATGTGTTTTAAATAAAACGGACAAAGGTTTCTTTCTCTCTTTGGTCGTCAATTTTATTATAGACCAACGTTTAATTTTATTTACAATAACCAGAACCTCGGACATTTTTTATCTTAATTTACTAGTCTTTACCGTACTAACGTTCAACTGCAATTCAAGGTAATACCTTGTAATTCTCATAAACGAAAGAAAATCATGTATATAAGTACTTGACAGGATAGTTATAAATAGATAACGCATATGTTGTGACCGTCTGTGTACTTACTGTGGGTTTAACAATTCTGTTCTATTATTTTCTTCTAATGTTATTTTTTATGTATAGAAATTGGCAATCATTTCTTTGACCAATGGCTATAATTATACGGCAGCATAGGGTTGAATAAAACATCACTATAATATTACAAATGACTATAATTTTGTCACAATTTTCCATACAATGTTAATAACTTTTTACCTTATTCCTATTTTATAATACATTACTTAAATAATATTAATGTTGTATTAATTTATTTAAAATTCTTCCAGTTAAATTTCTAATTACATTACGGAGTCGGTTTCAGATGAGACATTCAAACGGAACCAATAGGACCATACAAAGTTGAAAAAATGAAATTTTAAAACTCGAGTACTTTCATATGATACACTAGAATGTAATTCGATTAGATCTTAAATATATACTAAAATATTTCTTGCTTAGTTCGCTACGAGAAGTATCGTTAAAAACTGTACAAACATTATCGATCGTTACCGCTAGCGTAAGTTTAGTATTAATAATATTCGGACACACACCGGCCTCAGACGAGAACATGCGATAGCTCAACAGTTTATGTACTATAATTAATTATAATAATAGATAAAGATAAATTGTACTTTATAACGCGGTGAGACGCGACGCGCCTCGCGGGACCGTCTCGGGATAATTGACTAAGGTAATGCGTTGTCAGTGATATGTGGCGGGCGCGTCGCGTCGAGACAAACAAACATACATACGAGAAATAAGCACCGTTATTTGAAAATGCGAGTCGTTTGAGTACTATGCAGCTTGAGGAGGCTTAGCTGAAACGAACCGTGTTCACTACCGAATCGTCAAATAAATTCTATTCAACTCTTAACTCCACGCGAGCTGCGGATTATCGCTATTGTACATTTATCTAAGAAACCAGCCGAGAGGACAAATCGTACGGTTAACGGTAAACAACAAGCGAGTACGAGTCAATAAATTACAATTAATAATTAATTATTATGAAAAATTGAGCTAGATTCGATCTCCGTCACCTTTCGGAACTCTGTCTGCGCGCTGCGGTCGCTTCGTGCGCGGGTAACTTTTTTCGCAGACTACCCTCCGTCGTTTCGGGAGATGCGTGACCGAGACGGCAACGAAAATCCCTATGTTTTATTGCTCTATACATAGACTAACGTAATATTGCTCAGGAGTTGTGTCGGCGTGGGCAATACTGATGAGGAGCACGACGGATGAGGCTGACGGGCGACAAGCGATTATTCACAACCAATTGGCGATACGCCCTTACGCTTGTCTTACATTCGTAGATTTAGCTTAACATACGCCATTCACCCCTAACTCTACTAATGTAACCCAAGCCTTAACAAGAAAAGATAACATAAGTTTGTGTGGATGCACACGGCGTAGTTCAGGTATGTAAAATTACAGATTAAACAGTTAGTTGTTTTCCATCACTAACACCGCGTGTGCGCAACGACACAGTCAATATTTCGATTCAGTATGTTAAAAAATGGATTTTCGTGCAAAACTAATACAAAGTTAGAGGGATTAGTTACATGAATTAAAAATCTATTTAGATTTAAAAATAAATTACGACACGGCGTTCCTTGTTGCTCTAACCAATTGAGCTACCGTGTTGATTGGAGCAGCAGCACGGAGCGTTGTGGATGCCGATACAGGATTTTTTTCACTCTAGATAGATTTTTAATATTTATAATGCCATCATGTGCAATAACATGCGAAAAATCTCAAGATGTGTTATGATTTTAATTCCAAGCCGAAACTGACTGATCCGAATGAGTGACTGCGCGTGCAGTGAAGTAGCGTGAGTCGTGCAACTATGTCAAATGAAAACTCAGTCTTATCACCGACAGAGTCTCAAGACCGAGCGATCCATGCCAGTTTCCCTAACGAGACAGTACAGAGAGAACGAAACAAAACTTGTATAACAATTGTACTAGTTATCAATAAGAAGATATTTTTTTTTATTAAAATTTGATAATATTGCCACGAGTTAGAGTTGAAATTTTACAAAAATATACATGCTGTACAAAATAGTTGAGCGACTCAATGCATACACTGGTCAACCCTAACAATGGTGGGCCGATGCGCGGGCGCCGACCGGAGCGAGAGTTAAGTACACAGAACGGAGTGGCGCCGGCGCAGCGGCCCTGCGTACTTAGAGAGATAAAAAGGCAATGCTCCATGCACGTACCAACTACCTTTGTGGAATATATGTTGACTTCGCTCAACGATTCCCATCTATGGAGGAATATTCTGCGCACGCGCACATATTAATGCGTACGCGCATGGAGCGTTGCGGTTACTAAAACTAGCTCGTTGATAGAGACTTAGAACTACTACTTAGACTTTACTTCTGACTCGCCACTGCGACATCGCGAACGACTGTCGCCGAACGGTTCGGTACAAGCGGTCCTTTCGTATCTTCACGAGAAACTCGATCGATCGAGACAAACTCGCCAACACTGCAGTATATTCGAGACGGGAACACAATACGATCACAACTTATTCGAGAATAGGCCGAGGCGCGGCGTCGGTTACCTAAATGACAGCAGAATTGTACACCATCGATCGTAATAGTATGTATTTGAAAAATAAACATTACAATCTTCAGGACAAGATAGGAAACTATTAAAAATGCTATAGGTTAGTGTAACCGACACGTCGAGCGTACTAACAAGGTAAGTACATAATCAAAAACAAAGTTATATACAAAAAAAAAATGAAAAGACGCATTAAATAAACGTAAAAAGCAAAAAGCACTCATATTTACAAAGTTGACTGGCAAACTTCACTCTCCAACAGTCCCTTTTACAATGACAATAGTCAAAAATATGCAATATTAAATGAAACTTTTGGCAGTTAAATAAATATCACAAACTATCAAATGATTTTCGTGGGCGAATTCGAAACTAATACTTAGTAAACAATAATAAGAGTCGCTTAGAAGCGCGCGAGGCGAAACCTAAAATATTTTAACATAAATAAAAAATAAATCTTAAATACCCTGTTGATTTCATTTTTGACCGATATTTGAATAAATAGGAGCGCGCATCGGACCAGTGCGATAACACGATCGAGACTAATGAACTAAAACGACAGAAAATTCGAGATTATTCCACAGACCGCGAAATATTGTACGGGCTATATACAAAATGATCTGATAAGAACAGAGAGAGCCCACAGCACGCCATTACAAGACAATATCACAAGTGAAAATATGCAAAACCTTACCTTACCACGCTTAGATCACTCTAGCTAAACCTACAATTACGTCATTAATACTCTTTGTTCTTATCAAAAACGATTTTAGACGAACACGACATTTAAATTAATTGAAACGGTGTTAGAATGGGAGAACACGGCGACTAAAGGAGTGGCGGCGAGTTTCTTGCCAACTCTACTCGTTAGTTTTATTGAGTTGAGAACTGGTAAGAATTTTTTTAGTTCTAAGGTTCTTTGTTTTTAATAAGTCATTTTCATTTGTTTATTTCATGAACGACTTTTAACGCCTTTAACGCCTTGATTTAGACAAACAATTTCATGCTGCAATTCCATGCTGGCTTATGATAGCTCCTCTATCATCAGCCAGCATGGAATTCACTTGATGGAGGCAAAAATACATGTCAAAAAGATACACTGTCAACCTATTTTTGACCTATCTTTGGTTTCTAACACCGATTCAAGAAAAAAAACTTAAGTAGCCACCGCACTGGCCCTCGGCACGTCATTGAGCACAAACCGACGGCTTGCAACCGTCCACGCGACATCCCACCCTACAATATATAAATTCTTTCATGTAAACCTATCTTTAAACGTATATGTCTTTATTACGTATGTTTTCGTTTTTACCTAACCTTACTTTTGTGCAAAGGAAAGTTTTAAAGAATTTTGTACAAGAGATTATCCGTGATAGGATCTGAACACCATGTCCCCATTCAAACGGTGCGGAATTCGACCTTATTCCGTGTGAATAACGCTCGAAATTGAACAAATAAAAACACTAACAACGTATTAAAGACACGAAATAATGCGACTACGGAGAAGCAACGACATAGTAAAACATCGACGACTCGCTATTCACTGAAACGGAGCAATTACACAACTTTTACAGTTCAAGGAGTAGAATGATTTGTTTTGTGTTTATATACTTAAAAATGACTTTGCAAATCTATTAAACAAAGCAAAAGTTCAACAAATGCTACCGACAATATCTCCGCTCCGCCTCTATGAATAACGAGCCATAAGAACCAGCATAACAACAAAACGACTACCTCCAGCACCCTAATATTATGAAATAAGTTCAAAATAAACCTATACTGTAACCAGACGTACAACAATTAGCCTTACGACTAAATAAAATGGCGCATGATTAATAAAAAATATAGATTTTATATTATGTAAAATTATGCTAGTCACTAGCGATTCGAAGCTATTTATTGATTTTGTGATTGAAGCTAATTTAAGACTTAGTAGTTTTACCGTAGGCAAGGTAAAGTACAAATTAACTCAACTTGAAACACAAAAGCAATATCGGGTAACATTAAAAGGCATGATGACATACACGTTGACACCTGCTGTCAACTGATTGTTTTGACAATTGACATGTTGTTGGTTTGACAGTTGTGTCAATCGTCAAGCCAACAACACTAAACCGATGTTATTTGTGTGAACGGGTGTCAACGATCGCTCTGCCAAAATGGCCATACGGTTGCGATGATACGACTTAAGTACATTTAAATCACTGTATAAAATGCTTAACTTGATTTGTAAATACCAACTCCACGTAACTAAAGCTAAATTAAAATGATTTTCAATTACATTTCATAGGCCGCTCTTGTGACTTAGATAAAAAATTCCGCGCAACGATTCGCGCGGGGTCGCGTTGTTGCGTCGTCAACAAACTTAAAATTTGACTAGCCGACACGAATCAAACTGACTAGAACGCGACAAAACACCATTGGCAAGAGATTTTCTACTAATTGGCCACAATACTTCCAATTTCATACAATTTGGAACCGAGCCCAAGGAGTCTGTGAAAAAAGTTGGCATAGCATTTTCATAATTACGATGCGCAATGACAGCGCTCGTGCCGTTTATAATCTATGGCCAACTTTTGCAAACAGAATCCAAAGAAAGTTAAGTACTCAACGTCCCCGCGCGAAACGAATTTAAAAAACCCTTAACAAGTAAAAACACTCGAAACTAACACTCGATGTGGTTGATGCCTAGCGTTTCGAGGTGTGATGCACCGAAATAAATACATACAATATTTACAAATAAAGGATACAAATTAAGCTCATCAGTTCGAAGGGGGGCGATCACATAAGTGGCACAGTGTATAAAATAACAGTCGCGTCACTTCCCTCGCTTTCATCGTTAACATGTATTGAAAGAGCACACCTTGTACGTTTTATCAGCGATATGAACGTTTATAAGGGAATGAGCAACTGTTTGCATGTATACACTGTGGCAGAGGGTAGAGATTCACTAACAGAAACCGCCGAAGCCAACCGATGGCACCGACGGCACCGAGGGTACCGACGACTCCGCATTCTTGTGCAAGTCTAGGAGGGGACTCGCTGATAGGTAGTGCGCCTGAAATTTAAAACGTTTTATAAAACATTTTCAATAATAAAAAAAACTATTCGACAAAAATCGGGGGCGAAACCGGGGGGAAAAACCCCCCCCATTTTTTCCCTTCCCCCTTTTTTTTTTTCGCCTTTCCAATTCCCCCCAGTACCAAAAAAAAAACCGGGCAAAAATAGGCAGAACATTATTGTTTTTTTTTTTGTAATACACCTATCATTAAATTAATTTATTTTATAGTAATAAATAAAAAATACTGAGTATTCTGTGAATATTTGTGTTACCATTATTAAGAAAAAGGTGCAAAATATGTTTTTTTATAGTGTTAGTTTTTAAATAATTACTTCTAATAACTTATCTCTAGTCATCGCCGTTTTTAAGCCTGGTTCCTTTTTTTACCCAGTATCAGAACTATTCAACATATGTGTTACCTGCTGATGGTGCGCGGGAGGCGGTCCCGCGTAACCATTGTAGTAGGGCGTGTTGTACGGCGCGTATCCAGCTGGCGCGTAACCGTACTGCCAGTCCGGCAAATAGCCAGGCGCAGGCCGCATCAACTGCGTACCCCACCCGCCTCCGTAACCAACGAACGGTCCGCCATAACTGAAGCACAGGAAATATATTTTTAAGAACCTACATCTAAATACAAAAACAGTTAAAACTGAAAAATCTTTGACTAAGTACTGTCTGCTGATTACAGGAGTAGTACACATTTAAATAAACCACTTCAAACAACAGTTTAAAACGCGACATTTATTAGATAACGCATTTAGAAATTAGTTCAACTTATCGCACTTTTTCCCCCGTGATCACGGATATAAAAAAAGTTAATTGAATACATTGCGATTTTAAAACCGGTAAAAGTGTTTTATTTGCATATTTGACTGTCAAATAATCCCAATATCTAATATTGGGGTTGTGACTAATGGTTCATATCAAAAAATGGAAATATGTAGTTTAAAATGGAATATTTTAGCTCTCAATATAACTTACAGAACCGTTTTTAATCAATTTATTTCTAGTGTGAGTTCGTATGTATATTATTAATGGTACCCGTTGTTTCCATAGGCCGGAGTCCCATAAGCCGGATAAGGGGGGTACAAGGCAGGCGTGTAATCGGGCAGAGCGGGCACAGCCGGCGCAGGTGGCTCCCCTGTGCCTCCCCCTCCGGCAGTGTTGGCCCCCGCCCCCGCGCCACCCTCCGCAATGGATGGGATCTGGTCCACGAGCGATTCGAGTCCAGAGAGCGACTTCGCGGAGACGTCTTGATTCTTGGGCTTCGGTGTGCCTGGCCCGCTTTCGCCACCGCCGTACTCGCTTGGCGAACCTGGTATTACAGATTTAGTACTGTTAACAATACGAAAGCTAACATTGAACTAACCTAACTTATTGCGAAATAACAATATGTACCAAATTAAACATGCAGGATCAGGGGCGGGCGAGTTGTTTGATAAAACAGCCGGATCGAATCAACTTGACAATTTTGTGTGGACTCTAAACAATAAACAATTGCAAACGCTACAAAAACTTAAGTTAAGAGCTAAGCTTTAGACAGATATTTGCTACTATTCCACTTAAACATCTTGAATGATATCGATAATATTTTCTAGCACAATATAGTGAAATCCCCTTTCCCCATGTGGAGCATGGGACGAACACATTTCTAGGCCAATAGTTGATCAGACTTCGGTGTCCTGCACGAGCGATACAAGACATCCTTTACCCGGGTAAGATAACACGTTTAACTTTTTAGCTACGGAGGCGGTCAGCGGCATAAATAAAGGAGGCTAATTAAAAAATATACTACCTGGTGGATGGTGATGCTCAGCGGGTCGGAAGGCGGTAGACGCCATGGGGGAGAACGCTGTCTCCTCTCCGACCGGTGGCGTAGATCTGTACAAAGATATATAATTAAATTACATAATGCAATTTGTAAATAAATTTAACAAAAAGGAGAGAAATAATGACATTGCATATAATATAAAATATAAATGTGTATTTCCTTACCTATTGAAATTACTAGGAAACATGGAGGGATGCTGATGTAGCTGGTCTAACCGCGGACTCTCGGACACTCCATTACCTGTGACCGTATACAAGATATGAATAAAACTTAAAATGTAAAAAGAAAAAAACTGATAAGACTACATTTCAAATTTGACAATATAGCAATAGGCACAATTTAATTGAATTAACAGTTATAAAACCGTTTGATTTTTAAAAGATACATTTTAAACAGTTTAAAGTGTTCCATTTAAACGAGTAATACTCGCGTAGACTGCATACAATACAAGAATATGGTTTTCAACTTTCGCTCCTTGACAATAACAATTTATTTTTATTTCCCTGGTATTTAAAACGAGGACATTTTAGGAGTGGGCATTTCGATTGCTGGTAACTCACCCTGCTCCTGCGCATAGTGGTAGTCGTGCGGTTTGTCCGATTCATATTGCATGTCCCGCTCGTACATGTTGTTGAAGGAACCACCGACCGATCCCCCTCCAACACTGCCGACACCCACTCCCCCTCCAGGAGACACTTCCGCGCCACTTGCACTCGGTTGCTGAGAGATAAGATATGGCGAATTAGGTAAATCCACTCGATTCACCTAATTTCATACAACGACAATATAATAAGAATCTTGTTATAAAAAATATGAAATAAATATCCCTACTGTGTCTCATTTTAAAAAGAAACAAAACTTTGCAGTAAGTAAAATTGGATATTTTAAAACGCCATGATTATTTTTTCAAATTTAATGAATATTATATCGTACTTAATAAAGAAATTATTAAAATCTCATTTATAGATATAAAAAGACAGCAAACCTAACAGGTGTCAGTCGGTCTCTCGAACGAAGAGAATCGATAAGTTTGAGTGAGTGTTTGAACTTCAGTGTCAAATTTACCAGAATATATCCTTGATAACTCTGACAATAGAAGAGTTGTATACAGTATTTATTCAACATACTTTTAAAAAGTCTATGTTGCTACACAAAAAAGCTTGGAGATTCAAATTGTTCGACGAATAATCGAAGACTGACAGTCTTCGACTTACGTGTCAAAGCCATTTCTCAGCAAAATGGCCGCGGAGGCCCCATATCTTTTTGAGGACAAATAATAAATATATACCTTATTATAGTCAGATAGTGAAGAGTTGCTATTGCTGCCCGGATGCATGTCCGTGCTGCCCATGGGGCTTGCGTCGTCCCGGGGCGGCTCGAAATCGAGCGCCGCCATCCCCGGGGAAACCACTCCGGGGGATGATATCGCGGCGCCGATATCGTGCGACAGTTCGCCGCCGTACGCGTTTCCACCGTTTGAACCGCCGCCCTGAAAGATATATTCTTTTATTACTTAAGTCTAAGCATATTCGACGGGTTCATTGGACCAATGCTAGTAAGGTGCTAATCAACGAGTACTGGGTTTACAATCGGTTCTACCGTGTTTTTAAGTGGCATTATATGTTTTCGAAAGCATGTTAGAATTCGCCTGCAAAACCTCGTCATTAAATAGGTGGTGGAAATATCCGAAGTCCGGGTTGAAAGAATAAGTTAAGCCGCTAAGTGTATCTACGTTTCTAGACATTTTTGGCTAGACAGCGCATTTTGAAGCTATATGGCTAGGGTATACGCCTTTGATCTTATGAAGATTGCTTGCACGAAAAAAGAAAGGGAGATCCCCTTTAGGGGCTTATTTCGTATTCAAGAGCATTATTATTATTTTCTTTATTGATTGTATATGAGGAACTTATATTAACAATTGACCTTTTTTCACTTACGGATATATTAAAAAAAAAATCTGGTTAAGTTATTAAGGTGAAAAATTTCATGCACAATGTAACAGTAATGACATATAATTAATTAAGTTCTTGCGTGCGGGACAAAATTAAATATTAATGAAGGCTTTGAAAGGGCGATAACACTTGTAATTTGACACGCACGGTCAGCGCAGTGACGTAACTGATAGCTGGTAAGATGTTACTTTGATATAGAGGATGTCAAATACTCTCTATAGTATACGCGAGTAAGACACATTTAAATAGAACACTTAAATGGTTTAAAACGAGATAAATTAGTTAAACTTATTTGAAAATGATTTTTACTTCGGCCCGACGTTTCGGATGCTTTGAAGCAGCCGTGGTCACGGGGAGACTGGGAGTCGGTAGATGTATCACAATAAATTACTTCTGCATTATACTTCTAGTAATAAAATTATTTACAAAAAGAAAAAATAATTTCCAAAAGATTTAAAGAAGTCTGTTTGACCACAGCTTTGAACCAAGTGGATGGCAAAAAAATGACAACAATCAATCAGGTGTATGTAGTGACATTTATATGTCCCGCATAATAAAAGTTATTAGTTTACTCAACATGGCTAAGTAAATTTAAATGGTAATTTGTAATCTTTTATTATGTTATAAATTAAATGCTTAGTCTACGTAAGATACAAACCTGCGCAAAATGATGCGACTCGGTATAGGCAGGCGTAAGAGGCGCAGGCGCAGCGGGCGACGAGTGGTGGCTGTACGGAGTGTGCGCGGGGGACGGCGTGTACGAGTGCAGCCCGGTACCGCCCGCGGGCGACGCTGCGGGGAACGGCGTGCTGTTCCCCCCGGACATGACGCCCACACCCGCCGGTACTGGCGACTGGGAGTACGGCGTTCCTTGTGACTAAAAAAATGTATATTCGTTAATTTAAAGAACTACAATTAAAACGGTTAATTATAATCATTAAATCGAATTGTAGCGATTATTAACCTACTCCGAGTTTACGAGCTGTTCACTCGTCTGATCAACTATTTGTCTTTATATAAAATAGCTTAATGATACGGACACAGATTTGTGTTCACGTACGTTTTTCTAAACTGGAATTCATCACAATTACTGATCAAGCATTATACCCCAGAAGAACAGTGGCCGCGAGAAAAAATACTTCATATTTTTTTATCACAATTTTTTAATTATTTATATTAATTATACATTAAAATTGCTTTTCTCTCTTCTCTGTTAGTCTTAACTAATGGTAGCAATGTATTGCTATTAATCGTCGTAGGTTGGATCCTCACCGGGTCTAGTGTATTTAAAATCAATGTTTAATTTTTCTGAAACATATTGAACTTCGTCTGGAAATCTGGATATTATTTGTGTAGTAGAAAGATCGTTATTCCTTCCAGGTCACGAACCACTATCTACAGATAAATGTCCGTGAATTTTAGTCTCGTTTTAGAATTAAAAAAAATAAAACATTGCAAAACCTTTACCTGTGCGTTAGGATCTCGTCCATATGGCATCTGTTCGTGGGCGAACCTTGGCTGGGATTGCGGTGCCGGGCTTGGCTGCTGGTAGGAAGGCGAGCTCGCGTATAATGGTGAGCGAGCCGCAAAAGTCCCACCCACGCGGACCCCGGGCGAACCGAAAGACCCACGTGGGGGAGACGGTGCCGAAAACGCTGCTGGACTTGACGGGAACTGAAAACATTTATGATTTATTTAAAAACTTAAGCAACTTAAAATTAGACAAAGAAGTTGCCTATTAAAGGATGATAAGTTGATATATTTATACTCGGATTATGATAGTATGTTTTAAATACGGTCTGTTGTTGTCTTAACATTTTATAGAACTGAATGTAAAATATGAATGTAAATAAGTTAACACATTTCGCGTTTAAAACAAACGATTTCTGAATTGACAAGGCTGCCTGGCAGTGATAGGAATTGCTCCTTAGGTTAATTAATTCACAAAAATGTATTAGTTTATAAGATATGTTAAAAAAGCCGGACTGAGTTTATTGGGTGTTCTTCTCGATTATGTTGCTCGTTTGAACATCTAGAATCACGACGAACAGACAGACAAACATTCTAAATTTTTTTGACGAATCCCAATAATTTTTAAAATTTTAAAGATAATAAAGTATATTTTATTTTATTTTAAACCGTTAAAATGCTGTAACTCATGTGTGTGAACTGGTAAACTCATGATCCTACATTTGACAAATTATAGTGACTCTAGTTACCTGTTGTCCCTGTGCTTGAGGCTGGGGCGTGGCGGACAGACGCTGTGGCGTGGGTGAATAGGGCTGCGACCGGGGCGAGGCGTACACACCGCGTGGCGAGGCGTATCCCGCGCGCGACAGCCCTAGCGATCCAGACACGTCTAATGGCGAGTCCATTCCACCACCTGAACAAATTTCAAGTTAATTTTCAATGTTATACAAATGCTAACTTGTATAAATATAGCTAGAGCTAGAGTAGCCTAACTGAAATTGTATAACTTGATTTATTTATATTTTTACAGTCTAAAAATGTTAATCTGGTTTAAATATCAATATAGATTATCAAGAGCGCAAATAATAGGACAAATTCATTTTCGCCTAAGTTAGGCCACTCTAGCTTTGCAGTTTCTCATATAGACACTTAAATAAAATACTTTTAACGGTATTTTTTCTATCATAAAAGCAGGCATTCAATTGATGGTATATGAAGTCTCAGACAAAACATCTAAGACAAGATGCGTAATCAACGTATTTTGGGTTTGGATATTTCGAAATCCACAAACTGACACCGAAAAGCGATTAAAATTGACGGCTTTTTCATCTGTTATTACGATCACCCATACATCTATATGGAAATGGGGAGATTGGTGTGGACACTGCTCACAACTGAATTTACAAATGAATTTTCCTATACTCTCATAAAGTTTAAATCCCATTTACCATTGTTAGGCTGGTAATATGGCGACCCATCCGGCATCTGCTGTTGATGCTGATGGTACAGCATACCCTGCTGCAGCGGCGATGACATTTGAGTGGGGAACTCGCTTCCACCGTGGCTCATGAAGGACTGTTCGTGTGGTAATGATGACATTGAGGTCAGTTGCGGCTGGAGCATTGAGTTGGTCTGGAAATTAGTTTAATCATATTAAATTTAATTAAAAAATTTAATACTGGGTTATGTTTTGTGAAAAAGAGCAGTTTCTTTCAATTTTTCCATGTAACATAATTAACTACGACTGCACAAAATAGTATAAATTGCACCAATTCTATATCTCTATACTGTATCAAATAAACAACTTGTAAGCCTGGAGCTGATGTTGTCTCTTTCCTCTTAATTAAAAATAACTGAGATAAATCGCTATTCTTTATGCCACCTTGAAAATGAAGCAGTTAGTGTGAAAAGTAGTTAATTAAGCCAAGATGAAACAATATTAAATTCAATTCCATTAATCTAGTCCTTTAAATTAGTAAAGGTATTGTATGTTTTATTTAATGTATATGATTCTTGTAACAACAGATACAAGTAATTACCTGTTGTTGTTGTTGCTGCTGCTGCTGTTGTTGCTGCATCAAGAACTGCTGCTCCTCCGGCCGTATCTTCTTTGGCCTGCCGCGTTTCTTCTTAGGCGGTTGTTCCCCGTTGGGGTCTAAGCTGGGCGGCGGACGCGGCTGCCTCGGCGCTCGGGGGGTGGGCGGGGCGGTTTCACCGTTCTCTAGCTTAATCTTCTTCGGCCTCCCTCTCTTCTTCTTCAGAGGGACTTCTGTGCCGTCCTCCAGTATGATCGTGTCTCCTGGTTCTGGCTCCATCGTCAGCCTGTGGATGGACGTGCTTCGGTCCAGTATTTTTTTATGTTGCGGTAAACTGGTTTGGTTAGGTGTTTTGTTAAGCGGCGGTTAGTGACCGGAAGCGGAGGCAGAGGTTCACTAATCTCCGATTATTGAACGGGTTTTTAGGTAAATAAGTATAAGTTATACGAAAGGCAATGGTAAGCAAGCTTCCCCGAAAACGCTATAATTTTAATATATATTAGGATGAAGGTAGAAGGTTTATTGATATTCATATTATACATAAAGATTAGAATATAAAATACAATCATACATAAACTATAGTAATAAAATTATTATTATGATTTTTATTGACCAAAACAATTTTAATTATCATCTATAATATATAGAACGTTATGCTAAGAACTATTTGCTTTTAAACCAAACACTTGTAAACGGTGTAAAACGTAACATATATTAATTAAATGACTTTTAATTAGGGCACCACGTTTTGGGCGGTAGACCACGACTGTTCATTTATTTAATATTTTACGTTTTAAACCGTTTACCTACTATGTGATGCGTTTTGTAGGCAACATATTGTTTTTATGGTTATGAACTAATCATCATGCACACCTGCGTATCTCCATCTCTTCCTGCGGGCGACGGCTCGTGTTATCTGGGAAGACCAGCTCAGCCTCATCCACGTGGGCCACCAGCCCGTTCAAGTAGTCCCGGAACTTCTTTAGCGCCGCGTAGAACGGAACCTTGTCTGCTGCCCGCGGCAGCTGAGCGCAACGGGCGGATGACGAAGGCATAACCCACATGTACTGAAAAAATACGAGAAGTATGTAAGAGTAATTGTTAAATATAGTGTCTATTAACAATTAACAGATATGGAAATTTAAAAATTATAGTAATTTTTACAAGGGCTTATAATTTTTACAACACAACACATTGGCAACACATTTAACCAATCAGCTACATAGGCTAAAGCGAATCGAATTAACATCACTTATTCTTTTAGGTAACTGATAAATTGATCGGGGAAAATGGGCACAGAGTACCACATGTCCCACGGGTGGTAACAAGTATTCATATTAATTATAATAAAAATTACAAAATCGATTATAAATTGAAAACATAACGACTCGGACAGGACTTGAACCGGCATCTGCCGGAACTGCATTCCGTGCTGTTGCTCTAACCAAATGGGCTAGCGAGTTAATTTATAATTGATAAAAATTGTAATAGGCTACAAGATAACTCACTGTATTAGTCCCAGCGATGGTGTCCGGCTGTTTTCCGAAGCAGAAGTCCTTTTTCCCCGAGAACACCTCGTATATGAGCTTTCCGTTGAAGACCGCGACCTTCGGCCGAAACGTCTGCAGTTTCTCCAGCAGTATCGCTGAGCCCTCCTTGATTTCCCGCCTGGTTAGGTCCGCGGAGCCTTTCGTGGGCCGTGCCACCATGTTCGTGAAACCGATTCCAAAGTTTAATAGCTGGGGAGGAACAAAAATTAATTAGTTATAATGTGTTGACGGTCTAGTTGGTCTAACGGTGATTCATTTATATTTTTTCTAAAGCAAGTTGAAGTTCGTTCGTAATTGCATTTAAATATGTGTTAGGATTATAGAAATTCCGCCCTGCCAAAAGCCGCCTGCGCAAAGCCAAAATCGGCCAACAGCGCATCTTGTCAAGATGTTATGTGACTGGGATATTTCACATTCCATCAAGCGAACACCATGCTTGCCTGTTCCCCTCCATCATACAAACAAAACTAATACTTTAAAAGAAAAAAGGGGTTATATTACATTGGAAATGAAGGGTAATGATTTTGTCTATCTATGTATGAATGTATGTTATAATCTAGCACCTTAACTACTACACCGATTTCATTAAACAAGGGAAACAATTCGAGATGATGACCCGGGCAACATACATAATATACGCCTTATAAAGGGATTGTGTTGCATATGAGGAATTGTAACGGCGAAGTCCCGAGTCTGGGCCATGGATTAGGAGCGCCTCTGTATTGGATTAACCGTCTTCTTTTAAAGCAAAATGAGTAATCAGTGATTAACCCTTTTAAAAGTAGGACGGATTTGAAGCAGACGATTAATTAGTGTGTGGTAGTAATGAAAATAAAAAACTTATAGTCAATAAATACCCTCTATATAAAGAAAGTAATCTTATATATATTGTATCTGACAAGTACTAACGTACAAATAATACACATTGAAAGGTTTAAAACGCCAAAAGTTAACGAATCTAGTTGGTTAAATAATTTACAATGTAGTTTGACTAACGCCAATTTCGTGTTCTAAACCGTCAAAATTGGTTTCTTTATTTGTTTACTAATCGCGTAAACTAAAGACAGAACTTAAGTTGCAAATTGATATTACAACAAGAACTAAAATCATTGTTTACAAGAATTTGAAGTTAAATTAATACAATATCTATAAATATAATTGAAAAACCAAAAAATTATCTGATGTCAACATAATATAAGATTATTTCATATTTAAAAATACCTTGTAATCCTCATCGGCGCTCATCTGCTCCCTTGTTAACCCTGAAAGGTAAAGACATTTCCAGAAATGGTTTCCGGGGCCCGCGTAGTGGTGGCCCTTGTACGCTGCGAACAGTCCAGGGTTTATGCCGATCTGTGGAACAGAGAAGATGTTTTTAGTTAGCATAGTGACTCTCTTTTAATATTGTCTCACTCTACAGTTAAACCCTAATAAGAATATGTTTAAATAAAACACTTCTAATAGTATAAAACACGAAGGATAACCCGAGTACCCGAAGCCAAATAGATCTACATCGCATCTTGTCTAAATGTTATATAGCTGAAGTATTACACCCACCTACCATCGAGTGAACCTCACATGCTTTTTTGTCTTCTGCATCATAAAAAAAATGGCTGCTGCAAACCATCAGCTATTAACCAATATATTCCGTTTTAAACCTTTCAAAGACTATTACATTTTTATCAGTAATCTGAGATACTAAGTGTCCAAATCAAGCGAAAAATATTGATATTACTTTTAATCAAGATATCCGAGGTTACGCTACTATTAAATCCCCCTTAATTCAATAACCAGACAATTATTTATTGCGTAACCAAGAAGTGAATATTACAAGGAAAACGTGATGTGATTCTTCACATTTTCCTACTCCACTTTTTATAGCACGAATTGTGTTTATGTTTATGTTCTCTATTACAACGTTTATAAATCTCTAAACTACGACAGTTGCCCGAATATTCAGAACACTATCCATGTGCAACAATTATAAATATAAAATTACGTACAACTGTATGTAATGTGAACAATAAACAATTCAAAACCTTTTTTAAAAAAACATCAATTAGTTTAACTTAATTATGTGTTAATTATTGAAATAATATGCCGAATTTTTGCTATTGCGACCATTTTGTAAAGCTACTAAGGCGTTCGAGCTGTACGACCGTCGTAATTGAGAAATGGTTCTCGACGCATTGACGTCACAAGTGGATGACGTCCACCAGATGTTTCTCGTATCTTGACTAAGCAAAGACTGAATTTAGACTTGTATAGGGATGCAGTCTGTTGCTTGTTTGAATATTCGGGCACGTGCTACTGAGGAGTAGAAAAAGAACTCTCGATCGTACTCACAATGATGATGTCGAGGTTTTCAGCAAGGTGGTCGGGCAGGGTTCGCCTTGAGACCTCCTCTTCACTCATGCCATTGAATCTGTCGTGCTTTTTCCTCTCCTTCACGGGTCTGGGGATCAGTGCTCCTTCCATGCCTTCCGTTTTGATTTCCATACTGGAATAGAAAAAGAAATAGGAATACATTCTTTGATGATAATGTCTTATTTTTCAGTTCAATGCATATTGTCATATGATATCGTGTTATATTTAGTTTAAAGGATTTTAAACCATATTAGTTTTTTGAATTCTTTACCATAAATATTTTTCACCTAATTGTGTAATCCTGTTTTGGCTTACGTTTAACAACAAAAAAAAAAACAAATAAACAATAAGAAAATGCGGCTTCAACTTCGTCGCTCAATAGTAAACCGTGTTACCTAGTACCTATTAAACGTGTCCTGGGTTCGAATCCTGAACAAAACATTGTCTCAATCGGACAGGGCATGGAAGTCTATTCGCACTTCTTGCCTGTGAAAGACCCTTTCAGTGAAACGGACACAGAAATGTGTCCTCGGATGCCCCATAGGTGGATTCCGGATTTCACTCAATATCGCTCCTTCATGCCAATTAATAAAGCGACGGAACAGAACGCCATAGTCTAGTGTCATTGAAGTCATCAACAATATGACTATCTTTTGAAAGTAATAAATCTGTTTCCAGGAAAAAATAATCCAATTCGCTAGCCATTTCGCGAATGCTCTGAAGGTCTAAACGGGCCAATTACAAACAACAGGTGACACAAATCCAAGCGGAGCGGCAATATTCAAGATCTCTGATACCGATTGAATTAGCCTAATAGTTTGTAGTGGCGCGAGGCACTCGACTTTTATTCCAGCCTTACATTGAACGAGTAATGGCGCTATTGTTGAATTTGCATATTAATTGTTGACTGCGGGCCAAGTATTGTGGTGTTTTTAACGCGTTGAGAGTTTCCACTGCTGGGGTTTAAGCTCGGTTTGGGAGTTTGGGATATGTCTGATCCCCACTCGATTTTCTCGTTAAAGACGCACTAAGATATATTTAGTGCACAATCTGTGTAATCTAATTCATGATCGGCAGTCATTGCTACATTTTTTTATGGTTATGGATATGGGTTAATGGGAGCCGTACACATTGAAATTAAACGGTTTAAAACTTTATAAATATTAGTTAAACTTATTTAAACATTATCTCGGCTGCTGCAAAGCATAGTTAGTTAAATAAATCACAAATATAAATAAGTTAAACTAATATATATTGCGTTTTAGGCCGTTTTAATATTTGGGTTAGTAGTAGTATCAGTAACAAAAATATAATCGTAGGCTTTTCAATTTTAAATATACTTGTTTGAAAAACAATAATAACATGTGAAAAATATTATAGATTTTCAAACTTTTATCTGGTAAATTTTTCAATCAGATTTTTTTGTAAGTACCACGCTGTGCGACAAAGTCAGCGAGGATATGAGCGAGATAGCATAAGACCATCCGCCATTACCAGTTTCTACCCGTACGAGTTATATGTTGTATTGAAACGCAAAAAGTACAATAAATATAGCTTTTTTACTTTGACATCAGAGACATCCTCCATCTTTAGCCTCCCCGTGACCACGGCTGCGGCAAAGCATCCGAAACGTCGGGCCGTAGTTAAAAATATTTTTCAAACGAGTTTAACTAAAACACATCGCGTTTAAAACCGTTAAATGTGTACTACTCGCGTAAACTACAGTCAGTAGATTATATATCTATATCAATATAAATAAAGCTATACATTGTAGTATATAAAACTATAGCAGTCTTATGAAGGTTTACGATACTTGCTTGGTCTTAAGAGGTATAATTGTTGCAGTACTTAATCCGGCCCTGTTCTGTTTAGTCACGTTCTTAAACCCTCTGTGTATCGATTTTTATCAATTCTATTTAAGTAACCATGGCTATTTATATCAGATGAGAACGAAGAGTAAAAGTGAGACTTTTCCCATAAAATTATGACGCAAAACTTCGTTAAAAGACTAAACTTAATTTGTGCATTTTTATTACACTTATTAGTAAAGATAACGGTTTAAACACAAACGCCGTTCTCCCTTCGAGTCCACCGGCTGCTGTAAAGTATTCGTAGCGTCGAAGGGTTTAGGTAGTAAAAAAATCCTGTATAGTCCGCGTTAAAATTTCGTAATATGCGCGGGCGCCTGAAAAAACTGTTGATCGCGCATTCTTCTCAGCAGCAATGTTTCAAAGCGGAATCGAACAGTTATTTTCTTATGATAAGTGATGATAGACAATCACGAGGCGACCAATCATAAAACCCCCCAAAAAAAAAGGGGGGGGCCACTTTTTTGGCTTTGGATTTTCGGAAATCTACAGACCCTAACCGAAACGCGATTTAATTTAACGGCTTTTTATTGTAGATGGCGGCTCGTGACGCGAAAGAAATTGATACACCTAGAACTGACATATTGGACCCGATGGGGATCGAACCCAGGACGCGTTAAGTATAAGCCAACCATTGCTACCATTACACCGACGAGCCTGAACAGTAATTGAGGCTAAAACGTTTAATGTGGAAAGCATTAGCGCATTACGAATCCACCTTGATCTGATTATTTCGTTGAGATTTTTGGCTAGCGATAGCATCACGGTTCCGGTACAGAAATACATTCCGCGTAAACATTGCGCGGGCGCATATATTAACAACGATTGTATACTGCCCTGCGCTCTAACGAGAGTGACAAAAGTTACACGTATTCAGAAATTGCATACTGGTTAATTCTTTGACGCTCGAGGGAAATATTTTCCCTTCTATACAAAGCGTTATCGATTAGTCAATTGAAGCTACATTTTTTTAATGAATATGTAATAAAACATATGAAATTATAGGAAATCTATAAACCTTGCTCTTTTGTTATAGTGATATTCTCCTACTTTGAACCCAAAATAGTTACAAGATTGTTTTGTAGTCGCATGTTCAGTCTCAACCTTCTTATGGTAAATCAGTGTAATTACAATAAACATATTAAAACGCAAAAAAAAGAAACAAAATATACAATTAGATTCCAAATACAACTTAAATACTGTCTGTAGTTTAAGCGTAGTACACATTGAAATAAAACTCTAACGGTTTGAAACGTGAAATATATACGTTAAAACTTTTTACAACGCTTTCCAATGCTTTGGAGTAGCCGCGATCATGGGCCGGCGTAGTTCAAATAATTTGTAAATAACAAATACATATCACGTTTTAACCCGTCAAAGTGTTTTATTTAAGTAAGTACATGTTTTTTAAGAAGAATTCATAAAAAAAAATCCGGGGGGGGGGGGAATTTCAACCAAAAAAAAGGCAAAAACTGCGGTGTTGTTTTTTTTTAGAAAATTACTTTATTTAAAAAAACTCTTTAGGCGGGTAAACGCGAATCTTAGTAAACTTATTTGAAAATGATTTTACCGGCCCGACATTGGTGCTGCAAAGTACTATTAGCGTTTAACGTTAAAGTGTTGTCTTTTTGACTACTCACGTAAACTACGTATAAATTACTTTAATTCAACCGTTAAATAAGATATTTATAAAATTTTGGGTCTTGTTAATTAATCACTTCACCCGTTCATTCTTATAAGAAAAGTACTAAGAATGGACTCCCACTGGTGGGCTTAGGTGCTATACCTACGAACGTCTCATAATATTAACGAAATAAAAGGAGATCGTTATTCTTGTATATAAAAGGAATTGGGACTTAAGACGTGGGCGTGAACGGCGGCTGATGTGTTGCAAGCAATTAACAAAGGTTTATTTGGTGTTATAATGGTAGCAGTATGTGACTTATAATATAATGTGTGGGGTCGTGGGTTCAATTTCCATTAGACGTCATGTTGAAACATGTTAAGAGTTGATCCGGAAAATCTGGACATCAGGTTTGAATATCTAAATTCCGTTTATGAACCATATAACTCCAATATGTCAACCATGTCTCATGTCGGTATCTGTTGGATTTCTGAATATCAAAAATCATAATAGGTCGACATCTTATCTTGTTTAAACGTTATACAAGTGATGCTAACGCTTGACTTGCTGTTTTTCTATGTCAAAAATTGGTCTCTAATAAACACTATTAATGCTTTAAAACACTAAATGTACTACACGCTTTGCAGTAGCCGTGGTCTCTGGTTTTCACTTCACTTTGTAAACAAATTAGCTAATATCTTTCGCGTTTAAAACCGTTTAAAGTGTTTCATTTAAGTGTGAGACGACGTTTTACACATTGGACTTTAACTCCAGTGGAGCGAATATTGTAATAACATTGCCGAAGGCGGAAAAGTTATGATACTCCAATTAAATTTAATTAGCAGCCCAACTATATAGGTAGAGAGTGGCAAATCAGTGGCGTATCTGAAAATGTGGTCAGATGCGGAACCGCGCTTGCTCTCCGACGCGTGTCCTTACGTGAACGGGTCACCGCCTTTCTACCTATATTTCGGTGCGGCCTGGCTTGGCCAGGGCTGCTTGTTATTTATTTATTATTTAACAAAAGCAATGAAAAAAAAAAAGGTCAAAATGCATCCTTTACAGTTTCACAAATAGTTAAATGTTTTAAACAATCGAAAAAAACAAAACGTCGATAAAACTGACAGGAAATTAGACAAATTTTATATAAGAGTTGACAAACAAATAAAACTAATTATACGTTTTAAAACGTATAAAGAGAGTACTTATCAAATGGAGCATTATCGAATTATCGAAGCAATTTTGACCGTTTAAAACGCGCCATATATTCGTCACCATACATAGAAATTACAAATGTATTTAATAAAACACTTTAAACCGTTGAAAACATTTATTTTATTAGTCAACTTATACTTAACTAAGAGCCGACATAGAAATTCTAAATGCGTTCTAGATAAAACATTTTTGACCGCTTAAAACGCGTCACATATTAGTTAACTCATAGCCAACTAAGAGCAGACATAGAAATTAAAAATGCGTTCTAGATAAAATACTTTTGACCGTTTAAAACGCAAAATACATTAGTCAACTAATTATTAATCTACTTTAACTATAATCCGACGTTTCAGATTATTTTCAGCAACCGTGGTCACGGTGAGACAATTACGTAGAAAATAACTTTAACTAATATATTACGCGTTT